CTGCTTAGTTGGAGATGCAGACTCATCAATTTCTTTGTCTACTGTGTGAACCCCCAAATTGTTTTTCCTACAAATAAAATACATTAAACTAAGCATTATAACATCAAAGCAGCAACCACTTCTTTCAAACGAATTGAAACACACACACACACACACACACACACACACAGAAAAGCAGTGTCACAATTTCAAGCCTTCAGAGAGAGAACAAGACCCTAAATTTTATCCCATCCCTCTATGACTTGGGTCAAATAAATATACTTGGGCCAACAGAATAGTGAGCGACATAAATCATGACTAATGAATACGTTTTATTCAGCACTGAAGATTTTGTCACTCTACTGGATAAAGAACCCCAATTCATTGAGGTACTGTGGGAAAATAAAAGGAATATACAATGGGTACTGGAAGATAGGAGTTCATAAGTATTAACAGCAAGCACAGTCTCGTGAATGGTTGCAAGATCTAGGGCTCTCATTTTTTAAATATACACATGTATCTTTAACTAGAGTGGGTATTCTTCTCAGCAAGTAAAATACGTAACTGATATAAACATGCAGTCTTAATTCTAACTGGCTTAGTTAGGTGCTTAAATCACCTAAAGAAGTCAGTTTAAATGTGGTGTGGTGGAAACCTGAAGTGGGGCCAAGAAATGAATTATAAGGTGTTTGAATCCTTGTTTTCCTTTACGATCCACTAAACCCTTTCATTTAGGTTAAACCTTCCTTTTTAGTTCAACCAAGGCATTTTTCTCAAAGAAGTCATCCCCAGATTCTATCTCTGGAAATTAGCAACTTTCAGTTTTAGCCTCATAAAATCCTAAATGTAAAATGAGAACTTGACAGGTTAGTTAGTATTCGTCTGCTCAAGCTCAGGCACAAGTATTACTGTGTGTATTGGTTAGAACTCTTTATGTTGCAAGCAACAAAAAACTCAAATTGAAGACATTTGGTTGGAGCAAACACTGAACAGTTCAGGGATAGTTCTAGCTTCACAAGTGGCTTGATACAAACGACATGACCAGGATTCTTTTCTCCCTCTCTATTTATCAGCTTTGCTTTTGATTCTATTTTCAAGCAGACTTGTCCCTCATGAACCCAATATGGTAGCTGGAAGCTCTGGGTTAAAAAGTTTAAGTACAAAGGCTGGATTAGTCTGCTGGGGCAACTCTTAAAAGAATACCACAGCCTAGGTGGTCTAAATAACAGACATTTATTTTCTCACAGTTCTGGAGGTTAAAAGACCAAGATCAAGGTTGGTTTCCGGTGGGACCTCTCTCTTGGATTGCAGATAGCCACCTTCTTGCTGTGTTCTCACATGGCCTTTCCTTTGTGTGCACATGGAGCAGGGGTCAGGGAGGGGGAAGAGATCTATCCCTGATGTCTCTTCCTATTCTTATAAGAATACTATCCCTATCAACTAGGGCCCCACCCTTAAGACCTCATTTACCCTTCAAGGTCATATCTCCAAATGTAGTCACACGGGAGTCAGGGCTTCATCATATTAATTTGGGTTGGAGGGAGACACAATTTGGTCCATAACAGAGGTGGTTATCAAAATGTATCTTTCCCAGCAGTCCAAGTGAAAAATCTCATTATATCTCATTGGCTTGGATTCAGTTACATGCCTATCTTTGAACCAATTACTATAACCAGGGTGATGGGATATCCTAGAGATGAAGAGTAGGATCGGAATCCACATGGCTGAAAACAGAGGGAAAGATAAGCTTCCCAAAGAATAATCAGAACGCTTTTGGCAGGAAAAGAAGAAAGGAATTGATTCCGGGGAGTTAACTAATAAATAGCAATATTGGGAAGGTGCACCCTTGCTCTGAGTGAGGACTGCATCTATTTAAAGGAAAAAAATGTACAGCAATGAGGCTCATTAAGAGTTGAAGCTGGTGGTATACACTGCAGATCCAGGAGAGACTGCAGACTGGGTTTCATCATAAACTATTACTATTGAACAGTCAAATCTGCCTTGTTGATATAATTACTCATTTTGATATCTAATTATCACAGTGGCAGTTGTGACAATTAAATTTCCTGATACCTTCTCAGATAGCTCCTCTGTTTCTTTTGTTGGATCCTTATTCTCCTCATGTTCCATGGATTCGGACAATCTCCGAAGTCTCTTCTCTCTCTCTCCAAGCCTCTTTTCTTGATCTCAGCCATTCTCCAGGTTTCAGTGACCACAGCCTTGAGTATAACATCCAGAACTTTATCTCCCAGCTCATCCTGCGAATCCTGGAACTTTATTAATCCATTCCTTATTTGCAGACTCTGTGCTTCAGAGTGCTGAGCTTGTTTTCACTTGACCCCAACAAAGACGAGCTTGTAGCTCCACCTAATAATGTGAAGGAACAAGAAAGTCTAAGCCATCCTCTAGATAGGAATTTACTGTTTGGTAATTGTCTCTTCCACTAAATTCTAAGTTCTTTCAGTACAGAAATTATTCATTTTTGGTACCAAAAATGATCATTCAATAAGTTCATGTCAAAACATATACAGCTTTCAATACAACGTCACATTCCCTTCTACAGCATTTCTGATAACTTATCTCCTCATTTCTGCTAGAACAGTCACAATGAAAGAATGATGGCAAGTTCACTATATCAATCTATCCCAGTTCTGAACAGCTATAATGTTATGAATTGTAATGGTGGTGGTGGGTGTTGTTTCCCAGCTTCTAAACTCCCATCCTCTGCTTGGTGAATCCACCCCTGTGTGAGAAGGCAAAGTCCTACCTCTCCTTATGTAAACTGAAAATGACAGATATACCTTTTTTTCCTGACCTTTGGTATTTAAGGCATGGTATGTATACCACATCTGGGTATGGGGATCTGCATATGGAATCAGAAATACTGTATAAGTTATCTTAGGAAGCAGAGACAATCTAGAATTTACTTTACTTGTGACATCTAGCGTCCAGTGGTGGTATCGGCAGCACCCTATCCAGACTGTTCCTGAAGAATGACCTTAATTTATGATATGGATAGCTTCTATGACTCTGCCAATGCTGTCCCCTCTCTTTGAATGCACTCCTCCTTAGCTCTGCCATCCTTCAAGGTCCTGCTTGAAGTGCCACCTGCACTGTGAAGTTTTAAAGAAATGTCCAGACAATATAGAACTCTATTTTCACACAATGCCTTTAGTGTGGGGCACATACTACTCACATGACATTTATATACAGCCTTGTAGTTATTTATACATATTTTTAAAATCCTCTACTATATTGTGAGCATTCCAGACAGTAGTTGGGTTTACCATCTCTCTGAATTCCTTCCGCTATGCCTAATACATTGCGGTCACTCAATTAACAGATTAAAATATGTGTTATATTTCAAAATAGAATTGAAAGAAACATTAATGTATATGTGGGGTCTACCTTCTATTGTAACAAAAGAGAAAAAAGAAGTTCAGATAGAACTTCTGAACTACCAGCCAGTTACAACTGGCCTAGGCTAGAACAGGGTCTTCCTGGCTCCTGAGTTACAGAATTTTTGTCAAATGATAGGGAAAATGGAATTTGTTTCATTTTTCCAAGAACATGGTGGTGATTACAAACGAATGAGCATGTGGCTCACTGGAGATGCATCCCAGATGCATCTGCTAGGCTATACTGTGAGCATTTTGAAGGCATCATTGTTGCCAATTTGAAAACCCAGATCAACTCTTTGTGGTCTGGCCTACCTCAGTGAGACACAGAAGCTTGCAAAGGAAACTGAGAAGAGAAAAGCAAAGAGAGCATGGCATTTCAGGACATAAATAACTCAGTGAGAGTGGTCGAGTCTGTCAAATGTCAAGAGAAGTAAGGACTAAATATTGAGTACTGGATTTTGCAAGACAGAAATTCACCTCCTGGTGACATTTCACAGTATTGGTGGGTACCAAACCCTGGTTGAAGTGGTGGTGGCGGGGCAGAGAATAAAATGCAAGAAAATGGAGATAGTGAGTGTAAACCTTTCTTTTCCAGGAATTTTTGTTATAAAGAGAAACAAACAAATGTGGTGGTAGCTGGTTGGAGTCAAGGAGGCTATGATTATTTTTTTAATGGAAATCATTATGGCATGTTTATTTGCTGATAGAGAAGCTCCAATAGAGAAGGAAAAACTCATAATGAAAAAAAGAATTAAAGCCACCTCCTCAAATAGGCAAGAATTTTTGAATAATGAATAGACATCAGGTTTAAAAAACATTATTATTTAAAACACGTGCTTGGACAAGAGCTTGGACTCTAGAATTAGGCTGCATTAGTTCAAATTCCAATTCTTCCCCTTGGACAAGACACTTCTGGGGTTTTTTCTCTGTAAAAATAGAAGGGTAATATCATCTACCTCATAGGGCTGTTTGCGGGCTTAAATGAGATAATCTGTAAAATTCAGTACACGAGGAGGGCTCATTTGGTAAAGCCATTATGATAACTGTCATCCTGTCCTATAATGGTAACTGTGATTCTGCCATATGATGCTTTTAGGCACCGTCGCACTGGTTCTGGTTACTGGAACCATAAGACAGATACCAGAGGGAAGGGTCCTCAGAGGGCACACTGGCAGATCCACCGCTAGTGGGGTCTAGTCGGCACAGTTGCGACAACGGTGATCCTCCACCACCCAGCTTAGCTACACTGGCCCTCCAGAAGCACTGTCGTAAAAAAACAGCAAACAAGCAGAACCTGGCAACACGGCAACTAAATGCAGATACCTGCAAGACACCCAGGAAACCAACACGTGGTAAAGTTAACGAGCCAAGGGGTTAAGTCTGCGCTTGCGCCGGGTCCACTTCTCGCCACGTGCAGCTGCGCAGTCTCTGCAGGGGGCGGGGCGCTCTGCTGGATGGGTCTCCCACTTTCTCCTTGACGCGCAGTGTGGGCGGAAAGTCTCGCGAGAGCTGGGGTTCTCGCGGGAACTGCATTCAAAATGCTCTGGCGCTTACCCGAGAGCTGGCCGAGTGAACGAGCCGGCGTCTCTGTGAAGAAGTGGTATTAACGTCCGCTAATCTGGACGCTCTGAAATTGTTAGCCGCCAGTTGCCGCAGCAGGGGAGCGGGTGTGGAGAAAGGTAGGGGCAAGGGGCTTGGTGGGAGGTGGATGTGGACAAGAGCGGTGGAGAGTGAAAAGCTGAGCGGACCCTAAAGCAACCTGGGGCCTGGGGCTCGGCGGAGGCCTGTCGCTGAAACACCTTCTTCCCGGAACCCTGAAGTCTTATAAACTGGGTTTCGAGCCGGTTTCAATCCTCTGTTGGACCGTCTCTCCTCCGTTGGAGATTCTGGATGACTGTGGAAGGGTGGGTCTGCTGCCTGGGCCCTAAAAATGGTAACAGCCACTGGGTCCGCCCTGCCGGGTAGGATAGCCACTAGCCACCTGTGACAGCCCGGACTGAGAAACGCTGCAAATGTAAAATACACAGTGGATTTCGAAGATAGTGTTAGGATGTGAAGTCCATAGGCGGGGGGAGAAAGAATTCCCAGATAGTGGTTAGGATATACAAAATTAAAAGTTTATTTATATTCCTGAGAAAGAAAGAGTGGCCGCGACACACGCAGGGAGGAAAGAAATGGGCGGTGAGGAAAATTGCTTGGTGCTTTTAAAGAGTAGAAATGGTTTTTTTCTCTGCTTCAGGGGCCTGATAACAAAAGCGGCTGTCAAGATGCTGTGTTAGCCTTTTCTGTTTCTCACGTAGCAGATTGATAGCAGAAATTAGTTTCTTCTTTCTTCTTGATGGCGGGAGGCATCTGGTACTGTCTCTTCTTGAGGAAGCAGGGGAAGTTCGCACTCCTGTCCACTCCGGAACTTTTTCAAGGCTGAAAAAGAACTCAAAGATAACAAGTTAGGACACACGCGTTTTAATTAAACAAAGGGTAGTTGTGAGTTTATTTCCCTCAGTTTCGGTTTGATAGTCTACTTTCCTCGTTAGATAGGTTATTAGCAAGACCACCTTCCAGATAGTACACAAAAAGAGTAATATCTCATTAGTTTTTATAATGACTACCTGTTGAAATGGTAATATTTTGGATGTATTTAAATAAAACGTTTAAAATTAATTTTTCACCTGTGTTTACTTTTTTAAAAATGTAAAATGTGGCTCCTAGAAAATTTAAAATCACATAAATGATTAGGGTTATATTTCTGTTGAACAGCACTCACTTCCTCAGCTTGGTGTCAGACTCTGCCCTAATTGCTTTCATCCATCATCTAATTTAATCTTCTCAACAACCCTGTTAGGTGGGTGGTGTTGTCCCTGTTTTATAGATGATGAAACAAGCCATTAAATAACTTGTGCAAGTTCATGCAGCCAGTGAGTAGTGGAGGTGGATAAGAACTCAGGCAGCATGATTCCCAGTGTTTTCCCTATCTCCTAAATGCTGTTTTTGAGTGGCAGGACAGAAAAGTGGTTGGAGCACCAGCCTTGCAGCTAGATTCTGGTTCCCATCTCACTTAGCCACTTACTAGCTGATAACCATAGACAAGTTACTTAACCTTTCTGTGCCTCAATTTGCATATGTGTAAAATGGAGGAAATACTTCCTACCTCATTGGGTTGTTGAGAGGATTGAATAAGATTATACAAAGTACCACAATGTCTGGCACACATTGGCTGTAGTTATTCAAGGGAGGCTACTCTAGGTTGAATAAATTAACTTTATACACTTTAGCAGTTCTCCAGTGTCTGTCATCAGTTTTTCTTCTCTGGATTTTTCCCATGGCCTACGTAAGAAACAAAACACTTGTTCCTACTTCCTCTCCAGCTACTGCTCCATTTATCTGCTCTCCTTTGCAGCAAAATTAGACTTGCTATCGTCTCCTACCATTCTCAAACCCATGCCAGTCAGGCTTTGCCCCCTACCTGTATATCAAAAGTGTTCTTGTTGTCACCAGTGACCTCTATAAATTCAAAGCCAATCACCAATTTTCCTTTGTTACCTTATTTGACTTAGCAGCAGCATTTGGCATGATTGTTTACCCCTACCTCCTTAATATATTTTGTTTATTGGCTTCTAAGACAACACCTAATTCTGATTTTCCTCCTACCTCACTGGTCACTACTAAATATACTTTGCTGTCTTCTTCCCTACTTAATAACAGGGTTCAATCCTTTGTCCTTTTCTCTTTAGTTATGCTCATCCTCTAGTGATATCAAGTCTCAAGGACTTATGCTGATAACTCCCAAATTTATATCTCCAGCCTAGACCCCTCTTTTACTCTTATATCCAACTGCTTCCTTAACATCTTTCGTGGTCTAAATTTGAATTCCTGGTCTTCTTTCCTGATGGCAACTCTGTTTTACTAGTTGCTGAGGCCAGAAGGCTTGGGGGCATTTTTGAATTTTCTTTTTCACACATCCCACATTCCATTTGTCAGAAAATCATATTGACTTTACCTTCAAATCATATATAGAATCTGGCCATTTCTCACTGCCTCCTATGCTACCACCCTAGTCTGAGCCATTGTCTCACATGGTCTCTCTGCTTCCAACCTTGTTCCCCTCTTAACTATTCAACATAGCAGCCAAAATGATCCTCTTAAATTGTCAGATCCTCTACTCTGGGCTTTGGAATGACTTTAGAATGTTTGTGTATCTAATGTCTAACTCTTTGCTTGAAAATCTGAACTAAAGCAGTGTCCTTTAATTGCTCTGAATATGGTTTCTATTTTGCATGCTTCTTATAAATACCTAGTAAAATATTAGTCTCTTTTCAAGAAAGCAGATTTATTATGTTCTATAAGTTAACACAGTTGTGACAAATCACAGACCTGGTATTCCTTGCTTTACCTTATGAACCTTCAAAGCTGCCTTTCTATATTTTAAGTAGCAGTAATGCTAATATAAGTTTCTTGATTTTTTAAAATTCTCTTAACTTTGATTACATGGATAGTGGTACAATTATGAGACCAACCCTACCTTAACATTTAAGGGGGCTTAGCACACAACAACTAAATAGTTTCCCTATGGTGAATTTTATAGAAGCAAGATTAGATGTATTCTGCTCTGCTCTTTTTGATTTTGTCTCAAATCAAGTAATAATATTGTCACAACAATTCTTGCTCTTGAAACAAGAATGCAAATTTGACTACAAGTTAAGAAAAAATACTATGTGCATATGGCATTATTATTGATTGAATATATTTCTTCTACTGATATCATTGCACGGAGTTTTTTGTTTAAGCTCAAGTAGTTTTATTTCCTCTGTTTACAGTAGGCTAAAAACGGGAAAAACATGGAGGCAGATATAGTTACAAATCTTCGACGCAAGCTTAAAGAGGCTGAGGAAGAGCGACTAAAAGCTGCACAGTATGGTTTGCAGCTAGTGGAGAGCCAAAATGAACTCCAGAATCAGTTGGATAAATGCCATAATGAAATGATGACCATGACTGAGGTAGGACTTTGGACTTCTCTCTCTGCAAGGATGTGCTTAGCTATTAAAGATTTGTCTTGTTTAGCATTATTACTATTTTATTCTCTGAGGATTTTAGATCTAGTTCCAATCCACCCCATCCCCATTAAACGACAGTGAACTAAATGGATTCCTGTTACTCTTTCCAACCCAATGTGTTCTGAGTTTGAAAAATCAAGTTATGATTGCTCTTTTTACCACATTTACCACCAGATTTTGTTTTGTCTGCACCCTTCCTAGGTGACCGTCCTTGTTTCAGGCCTCTAAGTAACATCCAAATGCCCTGTGACACTACACCAAGCTCTTAGTTCTTCCCTGAAGTCTAAGTTTGTGTGTTCAACTGCCCACTAATGGACATCTCAAATTAACATATGCAGACAGAATAGTTGATTCCCTGTTCACTTACCAAGTATTCTCTTACTATTTTTTTAACTTATTTAGTGAATGTAATAGCATTCGTTCAATTGCTTGAGCCAAAAATCTAGGAGTTTTTCTCAGTATGTTTCCCTAATTTTTTTATTCATACATATTAGATGTGCATATTTTGGGGGTACATGTGATAATTTGTTACATTCGTATAATCAAATCAGGATATTTGGGATATCTATCACCTTAAATATTTGTCTTTTTTTATGCTAGGAACATTTGAATTGTTCTCTTCCAGCTATTTTGAAATGTACAATCAATTAATGGTCACCCTACTGATCTATCAAACACCAGTTCTTATTTTTTCTATCCAAGTGTATATTTGTACCCATTAATCAACTTCTCTTCATCTCCCTGCACTCCCTACCCTTCCCAGGCCCTTATTTCTCACATCTAATTCATCAGTAAGTTCTAAGAACTTGACCTAGGAGGTATCTATCTACACTACTGCCGCTCTAGTCTAGACCTCCATCATCTCTCCCTAGAGTAACTACTGAGCCTTCCTACCAGGTTGCCTACTTCCATTGTTGCTATTCATAACATGTATCCTTCACACAGCAGCCAAGTGGTCTTGGAAAAATACACAAAAGATTATGTCACATCCTTACTAAAACCCACACAAACAGCTTTTGATTATATTTACAACAAAATCTGAGCTCCTCACTTGGGTTGGTAGATCCCTATGTGTCTGATCCCTGCCAAACTTTTGATCTCATTTCAAACTGCTTTCCCTTATTCTTGGCTGTACTAGTCCCATTTTATGGACATTACACTAGCTGTTGCCTTTTTCTGAGTTGTTCATCCCCCTACTGCTCATAGATTGAATCCTTGAATCCTCAAACTTCAAATTTCAGTTAAATGTCACCTCAACAGAGAGGCCAACCCTGACTATGTAATGTAAAGTTGACATGATGGCTGCTCTTTTAAATCTCCACATTACTAATTATCTCCAGATTATAAGCTCCTTGAGAGAGGGAATTTTGTCTGTCTTTTTCACTGTTGTATCCCTAATGCCTGGCACACAAATATTTATGGAAAGAATGAATGGACAAATCAGTTTAATTCAGTAAATGCTCAGTAATATATTTAAATTTGGATCTCAACATTGTAAATATAACAGGTAAAAAAAAAAAAATAGAGAACATAAAAATAACTAATGACAACCTTTGTTTTTCCACATACTGTTGTTCTGGACCAAGAATTCAATACCAAGTCATAAAGCCAAAGTAAAGATTACAAATCTCTATGATAGTAGAAAATAACACTGTGTTATACTTAATCATTCTGAGTAATAACTTGTCAGATTTCAGTGTTATTTTAACAGTTTGCCGCCTTTTAAACTAGAATGGCTTTGGGGAGAATGATATGAATGTTTTGAGTCTTTTTTCCTCTAATTGAGTTTTATCTTACTTTTAAAGGTTTGTTGAAGGAGTTCAAACATACCTTTTTTTAAATCTGTAAACTTTGTTGTGAGTAAGCAAAAGCACTTTTAATTGCTCCTTTGTCTCAGCACTGTATTCATTCTGCTAGACATTTTGTGAGCATCGCTCAGGTCACTGACTACATTCTAAAAGTAAGGGCTAATTCAGTATTTCTTTTTCACGTTTTTTTTTTTCTTTTTGACTACTTATTTTGTTCAGAGCTACAAATAGAGTATCTCATTATCAAACTAATAATTCTCACTAGGAAAATTAAGTGCTATTAACTCCTTTTTTTTTTTCTAGCAGAGATTACTTTACATGTTGACATACCATGGGGCATTCTTTACTTCTTTGATAGGGCATAGAAGCAGTTAGGTATCTCAAGCATGGACTTCAACATAGTCTCAAAATACACCTCACAGGTTAAGACTGATTAGCCACAAAGTTATTTGAGGTTTAACGTGATTGTTACTTGGAAAGCAGCAAATGTGTGAAACGGAAACAAAACAGTTGAAGATGAAAACTGATTGTACGTAATGGCTTTAAACTATTTTTATGTAATTGAATTGTAATTGAATCTGTTTTCAGAATTATGAACAAGAAAAATATACTCTTCAGAGAGAAGTTGAACTCAAGAGTCGAATGTTGGAAAGTTTGAGCTGTGAATGTGAAGCTATTAAACAACAACAAAAAATAGACCTGGAGAAATTAGAACAACAACTAAACAGAAGCCATGGACAGGAAGTGAATGAACTAAAAAATAAGGTTTGAATATCTGTGTATTTCAGAACAAAAATATTCCACGTTTATGCAGCCATCTATAAACTTTAGATGAGAAAAATTTTCTTATAAGTACCAGCTATGCAAAATAGATAAGCTGAAGGTCTACATTATCTTAATATAGGACATGGGAACACTGAGAAACAGGAATTTACCTAAGAGACTTGTGTAAATAATATTATACTAATTAAATAGTTATTTAATTTTAGTAACTAGATATTTCTGATGAAGTTTTATTAATAGTTTAGTGACCAGCATGGCCTCCTTGCATAGTACAGTAGTCCCCTTGCAGAAAGACTAGTCACCTGGCCTTTACTGCAGCTAGTGGTATGCTTTGTAATTCTGTAAAACAAACCAGTAGTTTCTTATAAATTGATATACATTAGAAATGGTACTTCATAATTTGTTTACTGAAGATTAATATATATGATCCACTTCTCACAATAACTCTGTAAAGAAGATACCATATAACATGAGAGAGCCAACGTCTAGACAGATTGAGCAAATTGGACACAATTAGAGCTAGAAATTGTCAGTGAAGATTTGAACTGAGGCTGTCTGACTCGAAAGGCTATGTTACTGAATAACCATGCTTAGTCTAACAACATGTTATAATAATACTAGCTCCATTTTTCAAACATAAGTGCAACGATTGGTTAGTGATCATCCATCCCCTTTTGGTACTCTCAACTACGCAATGCTTTCAGGTTGCTTCTAAGGAATCCAGCCAGAACTTTTATCATGGATCGTCTTTGTGTGCCCTAATAGTCTGTGCTCTAATTTTTCCACACACCTCTCTACCAAAACTCACCTGACTTTTGTCCTCTCTCCGCAGAAGCCTGTTTTCCAATTTTCAGTTTTTGTGTGACATCTTTTTTCTATTTCTGTGTACCATATATTAATTAATTTCTCATTAAATTAACTCTTTTTAAATGTTTTCTCATTTTTAAGTGGCGATATCAATGATATTACATATTTAAGCTGGTTTATTTTTTCTAATGTGCAGTAAAACACATAGAACTAAATATGCTCTTATGTAATACATAGTATCATCTTGCATACCGCTCTGGCAGATAGTGATCCAGCTTGTCTGAAACTAATCTGATTTAAGACACTAACAACTGGTAATGATGTATTCTTTTTTTCCCTCTGGATATTATTTTCATTTTAGCAGTAGTTTTCACTGTATAGGGGGAAAAAAGGGCTACGGCAAGGCCAATTATAGAGATGGCTTTTTTTGGTAGAGCAAAGAGTAAATTAGTCAAATATTTTTAGTTTTACCGATGTTCTCAAATCACTTGTGCCAAAATTTGGAGTTTTATTCGATATCTTTTTTCCTCTTATTTCTCAAATTTAATCCATCAACAAGTTCGAAGAACTTGACCTACAAAACATCTATCTTCCCTACTGCCACTATTCTAGACCTCCATCATCTGTCACCTTGACTACTACTGTAGCCTTCTAATCAGTTTGCCTGCTTTCATTGTTTCTGTTCATGCCATTCATTTCTTCACACAGAGGCCGAGTGGTCAGTAACACAGTGCCTTCTGGTTGCTTGCAAGGAATACAGACCTACTGTGATTAGTTGTATGGATTATGTCTATGTTTATAAGACAAGGTATGTCACTATCTATTAAAAGATGCCTAGCCTTGGCCAAATAGGAAATCCCAATAGTCTCATTATGCAGTAAGTTTGGGTCAATCATTGATGTTTTTCAGAAAGAAAATACCTTTATAAAGTATTTTTATAAGATTCTTTTTTTCTCTGCTTTAGATAGAAAAACTAAAAGTGGAATTAGATGAAGCTAGGCTTAGCGAAAAGCAGCTGAAGCACCAAGTAGATCATCAAAAGGAACTCCTCTCTTGTAAATCAGAGGAACTGCGGACAATGTCTGAGCGTGTACACGAAAGCATGTCTTCAGAGATGCTGGCTCTTCAAATTGAATTGACAGAAACGGAGAGTATGAAGGTAATTTTTATGGCATGTGTTTCTCAGGGTTTTTTTTTTCTTTTATATTTTTACATGTACTAATTCTTAAGAGCGAGTTTGAAGTCTGAATTATTTCTTGATGTAACTTTCATCTAACTAATTAAATGTTTTGTGGTAGTTTTAGGTGTATTACTTCATAATACAGTTTTAGATTACATGATTATGTAAGGCAGGCTTTACCATTAAATTAATGAAACCTCTGGAAGAATTTAGAAGTATGTACTCTGATCCTAGTTTTTGTTATAAAATGTTGGTGCTGCAGAAGTCGAGATGCATGTGAACATGGTTTTTTCATTGCAGGCTAAGGTTAATTAAAAATTAAAGCCTTAAAAGTACAGGGGAAAAAAGGCGGTCTCTAAATACTTTCATTTTGTTCCCTACTGAAAAATTTAGCAATTTTTATTATTTTAATATACACCTGACAACCTTTGGCTAGTTCATTAGTTTTAATTTTGGTTGTGAACCACTACTGATAGACAAACTGAGCAGCTGCTGAATGAAAGATTATTCAAGAGAATTTTCTCTTTTTTAAATCCTATTGAATAGGCCACCCTCAAAGAAGAACTGAATGAACTACAGTACAGACAAGAACAGCTAGAACGTCTGAATACTAACTTAATGCGCCAGGTAGACCGGCTTAAAGAAGAAAAAGAAGAGCGAGAAAAAGAAGCAGTTTCTTACTGTAATGCCCTAGAGGTATTATGATTATAGTAACATCGTCTTTTTCAATTTATAATAAGTTGTTTTCATGCTAATCTAATCTCTATTAGCTATGTTGTTTTCTTTTGAATTTAGAAAGCTCGTGTAGCAAATCAAGATCTTCAGGTGCAGTTGGACCAGGCCCTCCAACGAGACTTGGATCCCAATAGTAAAGGCAACTCTTTGTTTGCAGAGGTACTTATAAGTATCCTCATGATTAAATTGGCCTTTCATTTACTGCAAGAACAATTAAACATGTTAATATTTTCTAGGTGGAAGATCGAAGGGCTGCAATGGAACGTCAGTTTATCAGTATGAAAATCAAGTATCAGTCGCTAAAGAAGCAAAATGTATTTAATAGAGAACAGATGCAAAGAATGAAGGTATAGAATTATCACTATAAATGACTTGTTAAACCTACTTTGTGTCAGCATTACAGGTACAAATATATCAAAGAAACGATCTTTTCCTGCAAAGAGTGTATTTATATAGTTATTTCTAGAACTGTGATTTGAAAAAAAATGTTTTTAAATTGATCAAAAGATCCATTTATATTTTTTAAAAATTAATCTTGGAATAAATATTTAGTAATAGTGTATTCAGCAACTATTGATTTTTTTGTTTTTTCTAATGTTTCCTCACTAGCTTTGCTAGGGAGGTATAAATCTTTCTTCGTAGATAGGGGGAGAAGAAAAATCAAAGTATTTCTTGCTCTCGGCCTGATGTTGTTCTAAGCATAGCCCTAGGGTTCCTACTTCAACTAAAACTAACTCCCTCACCATTCCTCTGCTTTCTCACAAAGGCTTATTAGAGAGTGAAATTTAGATTATTCAGGGTCCCCTTTCCTTGTCACTCCTAAGTCAAGTATAGAGGCCCTTTTAATTTCCAGGGTTTTCTTGGTCATCTTTCTAGTCAAATAAGAGGTAGCAGAAAAGCATTTGGAAGATAGAAAGATTCCAATGTTCTGCCAATCTGTAGAATCCTGATCCCTCATCTATTGTGCCTAGCTCTCCTGGGGTAGTATTTGGAATCTGTAAATCTTCCCTTCTTCTCTTCAGGATGGTGAATTTTATAAAAAAAAAAAAAAAAAAAGGGAAAGGTCAGTGATTAAACTTGAGAGTTAGATGAACTTGGGATTGAATCATAATTCTGTCACTTGCTAGCTCTGTGACCTTGGACAAGTTTTCAGAGCATCAGTTGACTTCATTTGTAAAGTGGAGATGATAGAACCTGCCTCTTAGAATTGTCCTAGAGTTAAATGAAAGTATAGTAAAATACTTACATGGTACTTGGCAAATGATTAATTGCTT